CGAGCAAACGGAAGGACTTCCAAAGGTGGAATAAAGCTGCGATCGGATTAATTCAATTTGCTCGAATTCAAGCGACTCGAAGTCGAACGTCGAATGATTTGACCGAAACTTCGAAGAATATTCCAATCGTCTCTCGAATATGTAACTGGATAGAAGAAATAAAAATTCAATTCCGAAATCAAATAAAACGACAATTTTGATAGAATTCGTTAGTACGATCATATTGGATATTAAAATTGTTTATTGTGTTTTTCCTCCTTATAGTCTTCGTATAACCAAATTAATACCGAGTAGGTGAAACGAATCTCTGCTCAAATTTCATTTTTCTCAATTACGGTCATAAAACTATGAATTCGTATAAACGCATCCGCAGTCTATTAATAAGAAATCCCACCTTAAGAGCAACCATCGAGAGCTCGCACGTTCCAGACTACTTTCAACGACGTTATATAGATATATCCTTTTCTCACGCGGCGACAACGCACCTCGAGTTTCGTCTTTATCGCCTTATAAAACGAACGTCTCTCGCACGCGCACGCGACCGTAAATAACGCTTGGCGATTCTTGACATTCTCTCTTCTTTTCCTTATGCGTGTACGCACGCGAAAACCTGCAAATCCTGTCTATGCCACGCCACGTAACTCGGCTCTCCTTCCGATTTCTCTGCTCGCGAACCGTGGAAATCTGTGCCGATAACGAGCAAACCTATTTGCTAAGCTTCGGATGGCAGAATGTTACACCAACTGGACGATAAACGACGCTGTTAATTTTTAATTCGCGAACAAAGCGTGTGAAATTATGAAGATCAAAGAGAAGATAAGAGATTTGAGATTAATTGGTAGGTACGTATCTTCGTCTTTCGATTCATTACGAATTTAATAAAATGCTTGATACTCGTGTATTATAAGAGATAAGTGCGGTGGAATTGTGCAGAGGATCGATAAAACGGTAACGAGAGTCAAATATATTTAAAATATATCAAATAAATTATAAGTAAATATAGACAATGCCCAAAGTCGCTCGTACAAACGTATTACGCTACGTAAGAATAAAGAAGACCCCTGAAATATTTCGCAGCGCGTGTAACAAAGATAACAGGAACACGAGAATTCTCAGTGTTCCACGTTGAGTCTTAATGTCGTACAGCTTACAAGCGCTATATAAGCATACGAGCCCAGTTACCTTTCTAACCTTCCATTTAAAAAAATACTGAAAACTCGGAGCAGCAGACAAGAAAGAAGGGTTGCGGTAGCAGTTCTCCGAAAGCCAGACGATACACGCTATTCCGTCGGCGAGTCGAAAAAGAAAAAAAAAATGTAATTTGCAGCGTACGCGAAACCGGGATTTTATACAATCGCGCGCGCGTTAGCTCGTAAATATCGCAAGGCAGCGGCCAGTGGATTTTTTCTGCTCGGTTTTACGATGCAACGCATGCAACAAATCAGTAGTTTTGCAATCGCATCGCGATCCATCCGAGTCCACGAACCTGGAATCCAGCTTCGGAATAAACATGCAGATTGCGTGAATCTTTCCTTCTTTATTGTTATTAACTCGGCGTTATCTACTCCATCTCGGACGAGTCTGGATAATTGCACTGTCGACAACGATGGATAACGATGCATTTATGGGAAACAATTTCCTTGCGACGCGAGTAACTCGCAGGATTCTTTAAGACGCGCGTGCTTTTGTGACGCGGATAATACGACGATGCGTCATAGCGCCGGAGGGCCTCGGATTAATTTAATGAATCTGGCATCAAGGGAAGAAGATACGACTGGCTATAAATAAACCACGTCAGCTTATCACGATACTTTCCAACTACCTCGATGATATTACCACGTATACGCAGGTTGCGATGATTTAAGGATAAACAAATGTTTATCCATGGTATCGACGTTCTTTTCCGCGTTCGCCAATTCGTACAGCGATCTCGAGTGAGTTTGAAAAAATAGATCGACGGTGGTTGCAGAAAGTATTTGTACGTACTTTCATTTTTTCATCTTTTATCATTTTCGCGGTATCGAGTCCTGGTAGTAAAATTATGTACATAACGCTGAACGATATAGAATCTAATACGGCTAGCTGTAATTAATCAGGACGTAAATAATATAGTGAATACGGTGGAGTGAAAATACTTTTTGTAGCTAGTGTATGCATTCCAGTTTGCGAAATGTTGCACGTAATATAGTTTCAACTCTTAACTCTGTTCGTTTCAACTTCGAATTATCAGACTGTGCCTGATGTATAATTTACTTTGCTTAAACGCACGTTTATGGCCGAGATTTCCGCGAGAAGAGGTCGAATAACAAATGAGACGAGAGTCGTAAAAAGACTTTAGTCGTACGAGATCAAGATCATCGTTGCCGATTTTTCTTGATCAACGATAAATACATAACGTACTTTTTACCTTCGCAGTCACGTTTCCCATTGTTGGACATCGTTAGCTCGCTCGTTGTATCTTCAAGCGAAGATGTACGATTCGAGAACGTCACGGGAGTTCGTTCGATCGCATTGCCACAGATAGAAATCCAAATCCTCGAGTACGAGCAGACACACACGTAGAAGCACGAAATCCCGCCACGCGTGACACAACCTGACGCCGCCGGAGAATATAACGCACTGACTAATACCATATTCCAGCAGCCCTTATTCGAAGCCCTAAACCCTTGAAGGTGTGTCCCTGCAAATTTACGGGTAGGCACATGTGTTCAATTTCGCGGACCTGTTTGTTCCACTCCTTCGACCTCGGAGGGGAAGAGTCCTCCTTCGAATCTGTCTAAATGTATAAAAACGAACCGCCTGTACGCCTTTCCCTCGTTTTTTTATATTCTAGCCGCAGAAACGCAATCCATTTTTTTCAGCCAACGATCGAGCAACGCTTTTAAGTAACTTTGACTTTAAATTAAATCGTACCTGTGAATATTCATCGCTCGATCGAAGATTCGAAATTATCCGACGCGAACGCGTGACGAAATTTGAAGATTACTTCGTGATGCCGAGAACGTAAACTGGAAACCTCTTTGAAAGATAAAAGAACGAAACGAAGAAAGTGAGAGAAGGCTGTGCATGTATTAGACGAATTAACGGTTAGAAGCGGAGGCCGCGTAAATGTCACGGCGGCATCGAAAGAGCTACGTGTGAAAATTCTGTTAATATCCGTCGTTAGTTACGGCTAGTAAAATGCGACTTTAATAAACGCGAGCCGCTGGGAAACGATAACAGGAACGCCGCGACGTTTTACCAAAACCGTGAATATCGCGAATAGGACGTATAGGAATATCGCGAAAAACACACTCGTATACTACGAAAAACAGAAAGAGTTCCTATGCTTTCCTTACGCAAAATCGAGCAAAATATTGAAAAATGACACGTTAGTAGAGTGGCGTGTTCTCCGCGTCTTGTAGGAGAGACGCGATACATGCTAATTTCTCTTTCTTAAATTCTATTCTGCGCTTACTAATTAATTAGAAAGCACTTTAAACGATAAAATAGATAGGCGCGTACTTTATCCTATTTCCATTGCGCTTATAAGCATTAACGTATCATCGACGTAAAATTTTAACGTAATTTTTCGTACAGTTGTTGCTTTAATCTTCCACAGACGACACGTGCAGCGACAGCCGAGCAGCCACTAACTTGTTTTCCCAGGCACACATGCAGGGTTGTAACAAGAAGCAATATATACGATACTCTTTCTCTCATCACGAGATATTACAAGTGTGTCGACTTTTTGCCCGTGGCGTCTCTCCCAAATTTACCCTAGGAGCGTATTCTCGCATCTGCCCAAACTTGATACAACATTTATATATCTTTTTACTCGATAAGAAAATAACGACGGCAAACGTGAAAAGCCCTCTTATGATTACGAATTCTTTATCGACGAAATCTAGAACTTTAATCCAATTAATTAGCTTCTTAAACCGCGGTGTAAATTTCTTCGAACGTTTCAACCCTGAATTTCATTTTCGTTTCAATCGAGAAAAGGTTTTCAGCGTCGGACGATCGCCCGAAAGAATTTTCCAACGTTAGAAAAGTAGGATTCGGTGGAAGATCGACTCGAAGGAGCTTCGTTGCACGCAAGTTTGCGTCTTCGTTTCCTAGATTACTATAATCACCGGGAAGCGTCGATTCAGCGAAGCCTCGCGTCCTACGTGTTCGTAACTTTCGCCGGATGCGTGTTCCAGTAAATTGCGCACGATACGATACTTTCCAAACATTTTGCCGGTTTTACTCGCGAGGTACAAAATCTAGTTAACCAGTGCACCAGAAAATAGCCTTCGCGTTTAATGCGCCAAAGTTACCGCTGTCTAAGACTTCCGAGTGCAAGCCATTCGTTCTTCCGGAAAATCGTTTCGATCCTCCATCGATATTCCAACAATTTACCCACTATAAACATACGCTTGCGATTGCAATTCTTTTCCAATAGCGCGCCAGTTGGACGAGGAAAGCTCGAGCAGTAAATTACGCTCAGCCGGGTTAATCCCGCGCTTCTATTCGCTCTTGGCGAGATTCTAGACCGTCGGAAGAGGCGAAACAGAGGCAGCCTCGAACGCTGTCGTCGCGCGAGCACGCCGCTAGAATTTTACGATACGCGTATTAATCATGCCGGACGACGTAATGCACGAGTCGACCAAGCAGTGCGTTTACGTCGAAACAGATTTACGACGAACAACGTCGACAAATTTGCGTTTAACGAACGACGCACGACGAAACGCGCGAACCGTCCGCGACAGATAACAGAATTCGCCGTGCGTGATCAGCGTGATCGAGATTTCGATCGACGTTCGTTTTATAATCAAAGAATACTCGCAATTTATTCGCGAAACGGCGATCTGCTTCGTGCTTCCAAGAGAGATGCGTTTTTCACTCGTTGGCGTTAAACCGAGTTCGTTAACAGACACGCGATTCGTATTCGACTGGTTCCGTTGCAATTAAGTATGCTTCTTCTCCGCAGCGTTGCGCGCACCAGTTATAAATTATTCTTTATTGTACACACTCACCTTTGATGGGCCGTAGGTGAGGCGGTGAACGAACAGCGATAACTCTTCTTCGCCACATGGGGAAACCTGCGCCGCACAAGTGACCAACAATTAGATTTTTCACCGCTTTAATGAACATTTTTCTTAATCCCTTATTCAAGGCTACGGTTACAGCGCGTGCAAATTGCGACGAACCGCGGTTCCGAAGAATACGCCGGAACAAGACTCGATGCACAGATCTTTGATATACGCATTTGGGTGTTCGGATTCGAAACGACGGTTGGCTAAAATACGCATCCACTGTAACCATAACCCTATACGTAATTATCAAGCCATGCAACGCTTGTGATACGAATCTTTAACAAAAATTCAACGCAAACGTATTCGTAACAAAGTCCAAGCTTCGATTCTTCGATAAATTTGGAATCATCCATCGAACCTGGAATTATTCGATCGATTGGGTTATCGAATATAAATTATGCACGGTAGTTGAATATTTTACACCTGACAGGGTGTAACAGCAGGGAATATAATAAAATAGCCATTGAAGAATATCAGACGATACGAAGTTTACTACGCTCGGATCTGATTAATTAGTACGTATAAATGCTACAACAAATACGACGGTGTATCACTATATAAAATACTTTGCGCAGTCACTGTATTCTCTTAACTCTAATACTAATACGCGTCATCGCTATTAACGAAGAATCGTTGAGACAAAGTTGGTCGTGCAAACCGACGAGATTTGCGAGAAAGAGACGGGTCGATAAGAGATTAATGCAACTAGCGACACATTGCGCAGCCGCTGTTAACGCGGACATAATGTTTCCTCGATAACGCGACATATTCGCGTTCAGTTAAGCGGGTTTATTAGCGATACCGAGCTAACGGGCGTTACGCGATGAGCGACGACACATCGTAAACCGTGGTTCGGCAAACGTACGCAAACATTTTCACGAGCGACCGCGATGTAACCGGACAACGTCGAAGTTAACTTCTGCCGTAATGTTATCAACGAGCGGCCGCGCGATGCTGTCTGGCTGCTCGCCGATCGCGACTACGATTACGACGGACCACGGTCTATTCCGAGCCTTGAACCAGAAACAGACGTTCTCGAGCGATAAATCAAGAAAATAACGAAGGCCCTTTGAATCAGAGCGAAAATAGGCGGCGAATAATTCACCTCGAACTAGTACAGATTGTTACGTTAAAAGAGAAGAAAGAAAGAAAAAATAGCGACGGAGAATTGTTCGTAATCGAAGAAATAAACGGGGCACGTTTCGCGTAACCGTAAACGACGGATTGTATTTATTCGTACGTGGTTAATCACGGAATAAACGTAAAGTAAATCAATCGCTTAATTTTTTATGCATTTCGGAAGAGTAGATTACTTTCTTCTTTACGTACTTTGAGAACGGCGAGTTGCTATCAGAAAAATTCTCGTAAACTTTATTAAGAAATTACTTTGGACGGGGACAAAAGTAATTTCAAGTCGACGAACTGCCATTCTGCATTTATCTTTACTTGCTGCCGTATATCGATGCTTCGAGGAGAAAGTTGGCGTAAAACTAACGAGGCTGAGGTAACATAGTCGTTGTCTTAATTCCCCTTAATCGTGGTTTCTTTAAAACGTCGTTCCAACTCGATCGAGCGGCGCAAGAAATTTTAGATAGCTGGCGTCTCGCGTAAAACTTAAGCGGAGGGATAAAAACTAGTCGAATAATGTATTCTAGCTTTCTGAGATAACGATTCCACGTTTTTCCATTGCGCATTCAAAATAAAACGACTACCTCGCGGCCGATGACAAGCGTAGATCGTCGATTCGAAAGAACGTTTCGACGAGAAGATCGATAGAGAGAACGCGATGATGTTGGAAAATACGCAGCTAACAAAAGTTACCTTCGACCGAGTCGCCATCGCCGCGAGCGCACCGAGCACGAAGAAAGTAAAATGGCGTCGTCGCACTGTGTCCGTCGGATAACTTGCGGAGACGAAACACGCAAAACCGTTTCCTTGATTCTTCCGTGGGTCGATTCGCGATCGCGTCAGCTCATCGTGACGACGAGACGAAAACTGAGCAGACCTCGTTTCCTAGCGCACGAAATACGTGCCGGGGCACGAAAGGGAAAAAAAGAAATCAAAGGAGGTCGTTACGACACGACCTTGGATCTTTGTTAGTGCCGGCTGATATCCGACGTTTGGAAAAAATTGGAGTATTGACGGAAGAAGACCTTCTGCGGAGAAAAAAAAGTTGAACGAACATTGGGCCCCGTTTCGATTGTTCGTCTGACCTTCGAAGGGGATATTGGGAACGGTTGCCGCGTTCAGGAAAATTTTACCGCCGGTACCGAGACGTCCTCTTGTTCGATGCCGACGGAACGACTCGATGACATTCTTCTTCGAGATTTTTGTCGCGCGATGGACCACGATTGTCGGAATATTCGTCAACGAAACGGTAGATCGTTAAAATGTTACCAATGAAAAATTTGGAGACGATAAGAGATAGTAGAATAACACCCCAAATATAACATCGACTCTTAAAAGATAGTTCTTTCGTCATGTGCAAAGTTATTCGATTGTCCGAAGAACGTAACGTCGTTTAGATCAGTCGCGATAACAAAGATTTCAAACTATTTCTCCCAATGCGATATTCTTGATACTACGTAAGTTTTCGCGAAATGCAGCAGGGAAACATATTGCGATTAATATTTTCGGAATTATAAGGAACGTAATAAGATTGTTTCTTTGGAAGCTACGAAAGAAGCAGTGCTTATAAACCGGATTTTTAAATCTTCGTTTCCAAGATGATCGTAACGTTTCATTAAAAAACTTATTTCATGAATTTCACGACCGTTAGTTTTTTACGATTATTCTTTCGAAATTAGAAAGAAAATTATGGCCGAAACGACGTCCGACGACCGATGAATTTAAAGCGCCATTCGAATATACCTAAATGGACGATCCATCGCGTTATTCGGAAACGAAGTAAACCGAATTTTTCGAGCATACTGGATTCTTAACAGGTGATCTCGGGAGTAATCACGTTTCCGCGCGACTTCGTCGGTCGAACGTCGTTTCGCCGAGACGGTAGGCGACGCCCGGCGTCTTTTCCTCGATATCGATTCCCTCCCCTTTCTGTTTACTTTCACTCTGCAACCCCTTTGCCGTTCGGATTAGTCGGAGTTAGGAATCTACCCTGCGGATTCGACGGGGGAGACGAAAGAGGCGTCTCGAACGAAAACATCGTCTAATTTTCCATTTCCTCGTTCGCTTCCCACAGCGACGACGACCATCGACTCTGGACGTAAAAGGAGCGAAACATTTCGGCTAATTATAAGCGAAGCAATTTGCAGAACGACCTCGAAGTCCATCCGAAACCGATTCCGCGAAAGAAATTCGTTTACGCGTTGATTTAACCGCGCCCGACTGTTTCGCCAATTCTGCAAAGTCTAGTCGATCGAAGGCCTCGATTTATCGATCGATCGACTCTGACGAGAAGCTTAATTACCGGAGATCAAGTAATCGCGCAAAAATAGATTCTTCGATAGCAAGGATCCGTTTGTTCGCTCTGTCGAAACTGTCGAAACTGTCAGAAGTGCATAAATGCAGTGAATTGTTCTTTTTAATAATTTTATCTACAGGTAAGTTCGTCTTCGTAGTATCAAACTTCTACAGTCGTGCTTACTGAATGATAAGAAGTAAAGAAAGTTACTCTACCTACGCTTGCGTCTAATTAATTAATTAATTAATACGGTAAATGGTGTAACGAACGCAACGACGTGCAAATACTTTCCGTAGCCGCTGTGCATGATGCAACGCAGCGATAGAAGGATTAATCCTTACGAAAATCGAGCGAATCAAAGATAGATCTATCGAAGATTAAAGGTAACGCTTAAGGATGGATCGTCCGCTCCTTGAAAAATACAGAAGCCTAAAAACGCAGGATTTAAGAAGATCGCGGGCGAGGGATCGAGCCGAGGATCCGCCGCGTTTGCTCGTGTCGCGAATTCGCCAGAGAAACGGAAAGGGAAAAAGAAAGGAAGAGGAACGGGGGAGGAAGCTTAAAAAGAAGAGCGATTTGGCATTAAAATTCAGGTAGACGAAAATCGAGAAAGGAAAGGAAGGATCCGGTTGGGCGGAGGGAGGAATGGGAGAACGGGGAGGGTTCTGCTGGTAGGAAGGGCACCGCGAAGCGAGAATTTCTTTGGGTAGCTCGTTTACTCGGGGTAGGACGAAAGAGCAAAGAAAAAAGTAATCGGTAGCATGCGAAGCACGCTCAGGAGCCTTCGCGGCGCGTACATTCTCGGCTCGTAATATACGACTTCCGTACGTTGATGGAATATTCGAAAAATCCGAGAGGCCGTCGGTGATAAAAGTATGGAAACACTAGGGACGGGGATTTTGCTACGTGTGCGGTCGTGAACCGGCGAACAGACGCGTTCTGCGATCTCGTTTCCCTCGGCATCGACGATCTAACGAATCGTCGAGCGCGAACTTCGCACGCCCTATACGTCCGACAAATCCGCCATGAATTTTCTAGAAACTAGCAGCTCTCCTTTATTACCTTCTTTCGCACTTCTGCCGTTCTAACGTGAGATTTTTCCACGTACCTTTCGCTAAACAAACGTTTGCACGCCTATCCTCCGTCGTTGATCAAACATCGGCAGCCTTAAACGCCTCGATAACTCGTTGAACAAACCGATCGAGAAGCCGGTAATTTCTTAAGCAAGCCGGAAGGTGCGTAAAATGAGAAACGGAGCGAAGAAGGGAGAAGGATTCGCGCGATATTCGGAATAATCGCGATATCAGCCCCGCAAAGGGAAACGAACGCGTTGTTACGGATCGAGTGGCTCGACTCGAGGCCACTGCGAGAAACAACGATCGGCCGACGACCACCGAATCGAGTTCCTCGTGACCGGAGCCAGCCTACCAAAATCTCGTCTTATCTGCGACACGGCGCGTATTTTAACGAAGGAAGCGCCTGCACGCTCGCGCGTACACACGTAGGTCGACTCGTGGGCGTGTAACAACCGATACAAGCGTACAACCTCGGAGATATTCTTTCGAATATACGACGGTGCCGA